GAGAAAATATTCACTATAAGAAAAACCTGCGCCAGGTAAATAGGATCTTATCGGATCATTTCTCGCTAATCTCAGAAGCCATAACCGTCCAGTTTTGACTGCGATTTCGCAAACATATACGTCATCAATTAAGTACTAACTACTAATTCGAAGTTCTCGATCACAGAATAAGTCAAAAGCAGACTATATAAGATAAACGGATTCTAATAGGGTCTGAACAGAATGCAGATCAGCCGGTCTAATAGACACAAACAATGGGTGCAAAGAGAAAGGCCAAAACATGCAGGTAAATGGGCATACTACCTTGCGCTCTCCGCGGAGTCCGCTGTTTGTTTTCAACTATTCTTTCCGAAAAATTGTCTATCAGTCAGTTATGACGGCCGTTACCACGAAACTAAACAACACTACCCGTTAAGAAGTAAACCAGGTTCTTTCTGGCTTTAGGTGCAGTCAAAGTACAGTGAGGTCCTGTAGTGGTCTTGTGAAACACATTCGCATACATGGTATGTCTAACAAAATGGACATCATGAACCTTTGCCCAGGAAAAATGACTTATGTCAAAAAACTCTGAGAGGCTGCACAGTGACAGTCGGTAGACAACCACCCGCCAAAGCAGAGACTACATTGACTGGCCAGATCGTGGGGTGTTTTCGAATGTAGCGTATAGCTGTGGTAAAATCTACATTCACGGGCGCTATCGCTATTTATTGCCACGTTTACGCCTTTCAACGACTTCACGCCCAAGCCGGATGCTACTGCTCATTGGCCAGCGATCTTTCCCGTTAAACAGTACTATCACCGGCAAAATCCTAGCCATATATAACTTCCCAGAAGGACTACTCCTAAATCGTTTCATTCAAGGCATCGCGACAGCCTAATGACTGTTACCAAGAAAAACAGGCGTCAGCCATCAAACAGATTAAAAATGGATTACCTCCTCTTCCTCCTGATAGCGCATCTTCTCGAGTGATTGAAACTGTTGAATAACATGACCAATTTTGTCGATCACTCGAATCAGCTCATTAAGCGTGATCTGTTCTTCCAGAATACTTTCCGACTGCAGGTATTTACTTTCTTCGAGTAGTAGAACGTCAGCTTCCAGGATCTTTTGATAACCCTGGAGGCGGACTGCAGCGTTCTAAGAGCGAAGAAATGGGTTCGTTGGGAGAAACAAAAAATAATCATAAAATGGGTGAACAATTGGTTATCTTCACACCCTTCGTTTTCCACACCAAAATTACTACTTTTTTTCAGAGGAGACAGGTCAGCCCAGCGCGTGGCACAAAACTGGACTTGTGCCAATATGGACTGCCTTGGAATAACGACTAAACAACGGCTTACACCACTGCAATTGATGCCAACCCAAGTATCAAATCCCTATCAGCAGGCTGAGGACTACGAAGAAAACGGAAATGGTCAATCGATTTGCTTATTTCCTGCTACGCAATATTCTCTGAAAGTCTGTCTAAGGATTATATAATCCAGGGACCCAAATAGAGGAAAGTCAGACTAAAAATTTATTTATAAAATAGACAGTAGTATTCTCCGTGGTGGGGTAGCAGCCATGTTAAATATCCCATCAACACGAAACTATGGACGTCTATCTTACGGGGACGCGAGCGGCGATGCACCTAGACCCTACGGCCAGAAGCGCACGCGAGTTGAGTCATGCACGCAGACCGGCCGCGCGCGTCATCGCCTCGAGCACACATGACGCTCGCTCACACGTGCAGTACAGATATTCTAGAGACGTATACCAGGGCTGCAGCATAGGAAAGTGCGAATCAGCGTGCAGGCCAGAACTCCCGTCGCACGCTGTAGGCCAGGATCGTTCTAGAAGGACCAGAGCCCTATAAACACGCTTTAGTGGATGAACTAAAGGA